AAAAGGAGATATTTTATTTAACAGAAATCACTTTTCAAAAACTACAACGAACGACTCGTTTGGACTACAACGCATATTTTCCGGGATTTGTGATATCACAAATATCGACGAATGGGACGAGACCTGGTTGAGCTGCACTAGAGAAGGCAACGAGTGTTATCACTGTGTCGGAGACACGCTAGCTTTCCCAAGGCAGATGAACTTAGAGTGGTTACAATCATCCGGGTTAAATCGCGCTCAAATTGATTTGATTTTGACGCAATATTTACACTGAAGCTCGCAGGCGGCTATGGTAAGGGGCGTGTCATTTCCTGACCAGGCACCGAGTGCTGCCAATCACAACACACTCTGGCCCAGCTAACCAATCACAGCACACACTGGCCCAGCTAACCAATCACAGCACATTTCGTATTTCAGAAGGCGGGCCTTCATTTGATACAGGAACTATTCGAGCCGTTCATGCCAGACTGGGGAGAGAGGTGTTGTAATAATGTAAAATATGTGAAAAATAATGTGTTTTTCGAACAACCTAGTATGAGAGCCTGTTCTAGTACACCCCCAAAACAAAATCAAGACTTTGTAAAAGAGCATAATAGGACCCCTTTAAAAATGGTATGCTATGCAAGCATCTTTAACTTTTTTTTTTATGAACTACAATTTGGGAGAGACTACTTATAATCCTGTACATCACACCACCATGCAACATATTTGCCCAATGAAGTCTAATACTTGTGTTTTACTAATTTTTGCACTGCTAATTCCAAAAGTAGTGCCTGTTTTGTTCAAACATGTCACACTTTCTCATTTTATATTTTCGCATTTTATAGCATTTGTAAGGTAAAGAAGTCTTGTATTTTCCACTAATCGGCAGACAAACTGCCACAAAAGACATGTTTTCTATCTTCTGGGCCAGATTACTTGAACTTGAATATAACTTGTTCAATTCTCAATCAATTTTCACATGTACTGAATGAATGGATCCTGAACACATAATTTCATGACAGTGACAGACGTGAAGAAAATGCAAACATGACCCAGATGTTTGCTGTGAGTTTTATTTCACATACAAAAGAAAATTACAGACCTTGTGTACCCCCACTTTTGCAGATTGGAAATGATGCATTATGAATGCTCATTTTTGTCATTAAAACCAAAACATTTGACATTTGAATGACAAATGCGACATTTTGACATCTATTCATTCAAACATTCACTCAATCAACAGAGCTGTGCATTCATAAACCTCACAAGCGAGTGTTTTCGCTCACATTTTACAATCTCGAAACGGCCAATGATAACAGGCCGGACTGACGTGATTTTGCTAAACAACAGCAATTGGTGTCAGCAGCACTGGTGACTGATAGGCCTGTACTGAAGTTCATTTATTTACACCATTGTTAATCTCATTAGTGCGTTTCTTTCCTTCTAGGTCTTTCATTAGGCTGCTGAAAGTTAATTAATGACTCACTCCCACACGGCTCGCAAAAGGCATTTTCTTACTTCTCGGAATAACAAATACAAAGGATCCGCTTCATTATGAACGAATGCTCTCGCAAAACACTTTCCACCTCCACTTTCACAAAATGACTCCTCGTGCACCTTGAGCAGGTTTAACTAAGTCGAAATTTACTGCTAAACTGCCGTTGCACAAACTCAGACTTTCTTCAGAATTTCTTAATGCATGCCGAACAAAGGATGAGGAATTCAAAACCTTTTTGCAAACATTTAATTCCATCAGAGCTATTTTTTCTAGACACCTGACTATTTTTTCTTTTACACAGCTCAGAATATTTTAAGTGGGAGGAAAAGTCATGCATTCATGCCTTGAACTGAGATTCAGTGCCAAAAGGAAACACGTTTCTAAGTTTTATAAATGGTCTCATTTAAATACACTATATGTAAGATGCACCACAGCTAAAGGCTCAACATATTCTGTTACACCAAATACACAAAATAATGATCTTTAAAAAAGCATCATATGACCCCTTTAAAGCAAAATACGATATGATCTCAGAGCACGAGAATTTTTTTGTTGTTGCCACAAACACAAAGAACATTGTTTATATAAGAATAAGTGGTTTTAAGTCAAAAATCATGTTGATGTAGAAAGCAAGGGAGGTCTTAAAGGGTTAGTGCACCCAAAAATGAAAATTCTGTCATTAATTACTCACTCTCGTGTTGTTCCAAACCCGCAAGACCTTCGTTCATCTTCGGAACACAATTTAAGATATTTTTGATGAAATCTGAGGGCTCTCTGACCCTCCCATAGACAGCAAGGTAACTACCACGTTCAAGGTCCAGAAAAGTACCAAGATGATCAACAAAGTAGTCCGTGTGACATCAGTGGTTCAACTGTAAAGTTACGATGCTACGAGAATGCTTTTTTGCGCAAAGAAAACAAAAATAATGACTTTATTCCACATTTTCACTTGTGAACGCACGTTCACGACAGTAGCATGACACGAGCGTGTGGCGGCACTGACCCAGATCCGGCGTAATGACGTCATCATGTCGGATCTGGGTCAGCGCCGGCGCCGCCACACGCTCGCGTCATGATACTGTCGTGAACGCGCGTCCTTCGTAACTTTACAGTTGAACCACTGATGTCACACGGACTACTTTGTCGATCATCTTGGTACTTTTCTGGACTTTGAATGTGGTAGTTACCTTGCTGTCTATGGGAGGGTCAGAGAGCTCTCAGAATTCATCAAAAATATCTTAAATTGTGTTCCGAAGATGAACAAAGGTCTTACGGGTTTGGAATAACACGGGGGTGAGTAATTAATGACAGAATTTTCATTTTTGGGTGAACTAACCCTTTAAGAGAGAGGCCTGGATGTCAACATGTTTGCTCACAATACACAGCATTAAACAGTGGAAGGGAGCATCAGATGCTTGATGTCTCGTCTCAAAGTGCATCAGTACTGCCAGTAATGACCGGTCAGCTGAGCACTGACGCATGGACACGGACAGAAACACCCATACAAATGTGAAACTGGGCCACTTTCCCCAGGAAGGTGAAACTTTCCCTGGCTTACCATTCATTTAAACTGACACCGCCTAGACGAGCACCGGCGAGTCGATCTTTCTCAACAGATTACACTGAATTATCGGAAATGTTGGCAATTAATGTGCAGGTTGTTTCCTGGCAACCATCTCTTAAGGCTGGAGCACATCAGACAGTGATAATCTGAAAAGGCCAGAGGTGGCTGAAATTATTAACACAATCAGCATCGCATGCTAATGCATGCCGTGAGGCCAAGATTTGATGGGCTCGACAAGTTCCTCAAAAACCATTTCCATAAACAGAATCGAATGGAAGCATGTTTATTGCCCGCTATTGTGTATTTTTGTGCGATGATGCCCTCTGGTGCACGCTTGTTCTTATTGCTTTTACAACAATGTGGTTTGAAAATGTTTTAGGCTTGAAGGTGGAACACCATCCAAAACAGCTATTTTTAAAGTCTCTGTATTAGAAACAGCAGATGGCCTTGTTTTGTCAATATTGTACTTTGCTGAATGACTGAACAATATTGCTTTTGGTGGCATCCTTAATGATTCAACAACAACAAAAAAAACTCAACATATTTACTCTGATTCAAACCTGTATGACTTTCAAGCTACAAAAAATAGATGGGAAAACACAATAATAGAGACCATTAACTTACACTACTACATATAAATTCTTCTGAAGCCATATGATAGAAGAAATGTGAAAATTATATTTTAATTTCTGTTCCTCATAGAAAGCGTTGTTATGACTTTAAAAGATATAATATATAGCACACAGCTGTATGTAATACTTTTATGGCATCTTTTGGTCTTTTTTTAGGTTTAAATGTCCTGGTTTGCTTGTTTTGTGTGGAAAAGACTCCTCCTTTAGTTAGAGATAAAAAATTTGCATTCCTCAAGAAAGAAAATCATACAGGTTTGGATCGACATGAGAGTAAATAAATGATGACAGGTTTCAGTGACACTAGCTTTAGAAACCTAGAGCGTTCTAGGTTCCTAGAAAGTACCTTTCTCGGATACAATGGCCTCACCTGCTGTAACAATACACAACAAGAAACCGCACACGGAGAATGTGACCTAAAATAATACTGTGATAATTCTGTACTCACTGTTTTTTAATTCCCTTGAGAATGTCCCTTCACTCCAGGTCACTTTCAGACTGCCTGTCCTGTATTAGAGGTTGCTTTGGGCAAGAAAGCATCTGCTAAATGACAAACAACCTTTTTAAAATGAAAAAAGAATAAAAAATATTGTACCAAATGCATATTTCACAGACATATACATAGTATGCATAATATACAAGTATATACATTCAGCAAGGTTCAAATGTTCAAGAATACTTTTAAATGTTTCTGTTTTGCATTTAATTATATTAATACAATTGGTTTCCATTAGTAAATATATTATTTACATTTATTGGTTCAAGACCACTAGTAAAAATGCTTATTTTGCATTTTCTATTTTAATACAATTTGTTTTTATTACAAAATACTATTTGCTATTATGCAAATTATATAAATGTGACCCTGGACCACAAAACCAGTCTTAAGCCGCTGGGGTATATTTGTAGCAATAGCCAAAAAAGCGTTGTATGGGTCAAAATTATCAATTTTTCTTTTATGCCAAAATTAAATAGTTGTATCTCGGCCAAATATTGTCCTATCCTAACAAACCATACATCAATGGAAAGCTGTCAGATGATGTATAAATCTCAATTTCGAAAAATTGACCCTTATGACTGGTTTTGTGGTCCAGGGTCACAAATAATATTAAATTCTATAATTAAATTGAGTGACAAGTCAGACTAAAATATACAAACTTTTTCTAAAACAGATTTTGCATCACACATTTTCAGTGTGGTCTCACTTTTGGCTGCACCATAAATGTATTCAAATTGATGGTAAATTGAGCTCATGTTAACAGGCAAGGCATGTTAAAATTCACTTTCAGCACACACACACACACACACCAGCACTGCCTCTGAAAACTCAGTTTCGTCACTTTATTAAATGAGTTCGATTTATTCTGACAAGCTCTCTCCATTCGTCTCTCTCTCTCTCTCTCTGTCTCAGGACACGATTCCCCTGGGCCAGAACGTTGAGGCAGAAAGTTCCAACAATTAATAAAAAAAAAGGTAATAACAGACTAACGTTTGTATGGCAGGCTTAAGGCAGAGACGGGGGGGAGGGCAGGATTATAGGAGCAATGAAGGGGGAGAGACTTCCAGGCTGGTCTCAATTCATTTAACAAGCCTTCAAGGACAGGAAAATAAACTTCAAAGCAAATACACATTTAAATATATATATATATATATTTTTTTTTTTAAATCACATTTTTCTAAGAGTACACATGCATGATGCTGTGGGCTTGATTCACAGATGTCAGATTAAAGAATAAACACATTCCACTGTCTTTGAGGCTTCAAGCCAGATTGGCAAAACCTCCACAAAGCAGTCGATTCACTTCTCATGAAAAACAGACCGTATGAGCATGGCTTCCAGTGCACCTTTGCAAAAATGTGCTCAAGTAAAGAACAAAGCATGACCCTGCTGGACACGCACCTCAAGTTTTACTCAAAAATTGAATCCCCTTTTCTCACAAATCGAGCGCTGAGCTTATGAACTGACATACAGTACGCTGACGAGGGTTACTATTTCACAAAAAAAGTGAAACTTTCAGCCCCAACATTACAGTGCAAAACAATAAATACTCTAAATGACAAACAAGACGGACGTGGAGCTCTTCAGAGCTAAGAGAAGACAGCCCAAGAGAGATGAAGGGAGAGAAAGACATCATGAAAACACAAAAGTGGGACAGTGTCTGTATTTACATCTTACACAGGGCTTAAAAACTGAAGTATATTTACAAACCGGTGGGTGGAGCAAGCCTGGTTAAACCACACCCACTGAGCAACATAAAAAGACTAATGAAAAAGAACAGGAGAATAGCATGAGCGTCACAGAAAGTGCTCCCTCCAGGGCTTCAGAACAGGGTTTATTGAGAGGCTAACAGATATGTTCTCAAGAAAATAAGACATCAGTCATTTTTGGACAGTTTGTGGATCGATGCGGTTGACTGAGACCATTTGACGTTACGATTTTCAACTCGTGTGCGGATTCACAAACATATTCTAGAACTGTTCTACCACAAGGTCCTTAGGAGTAGCTTAATTTACCGTAAAGACTGAAATGCTAAAACAGAAAGAAAACGCACTGAAACACTGAATTATGAAGCATGGTTCAGTCTTCAAACCTGACGTCACCTAAAAATGACTTTGAACGGAACAGATGAAGACTTTGTAATCTCACAAGCATAAATTAAGCCTAGACCCAGAGCATCATTAACAGTTAATGATAATTAAATGCCCAGGAATATAAAGTCACTTCAGTTCAGTACAACAATATTAATAGGCTATTGTCTTGCATACCTCTTTCTTTCCCTACTTAATGGTCAACGACAGCGTTAAACCTTTTCTCAACTAGCTTTTCGTTTGCTCCACAGGGAAACGACTGCAGATGCTTTCTCAAAAGTCCATTCGATTCACCATTTTAAAATAATAAATATATTTGCTAGAAGGTAAAAGCAAGATATTATTCTCATTTTTTAAAATACAATAAAATAACTGTATAAAACCACCACATTTAGTCTCGCCTCTTTTCCTTGACATTTACAACAAGATACATCATTTACCGTGACTGCTTGTTCCCCGCGAAATGTATTTTACACCGGATAGGGATCTTGAGAGGGACAAGAGTGTTACTCCTAAACAAATCAAGGGAAAACATCCACCGATAACTTTGATTTAAATAAATTAAGATACAAATTAAGACAGAGGACCCGCCCCTAGCCACTGAACCAATCATATTTGACCTCCAAAACACGCATGGTGCTGCGTTATGGTTGCGCGTGAGCTTTACTACGGGCGTACGCAGCCTTTCGGAGTGCTCTCGAGATTGACTACCTCTATTATCTGAAGCAAATATTAGCAGTATAACTTTTTGTTGTTGTTTGATGCATGTGCATGGCAGTGTGTTGGTGTGTATGTGTGTGACCAGTATGTTTCTCTGTAGACTGAAAGTTTGTTTAACAGTCAGCAAACATCGGGTTTCCCAGACCGCCGTGCAGAAACTGGTAATTCTGCAACGCGTGACACCTGAATCAGGCGGTAAATGTGTGGATGGGAGGAACTATAGGGAGGAGAAGCCATGTATGAGGTAAAGAGTGTGTAAGACTGTGTGTGTGTTTGTCAGAGGGAGAGATATGCGCTGTGGTGGCTCAGATGCTGTGGTGTGTAAGCTTGATTTTTTTGAGAGACAGCCTCAGGTGCTGTTGGTCAGAGTAGATCCGGGCTGTACAGAACCTTCAGAGCCATCTGGCAGAGAATAAAGGGGACAAAATCAAAAAAGATTTGTCAGTTTGATCAGCAAACACAAGGCATAAACACATAAAATGTTATATACACTAGTGTTCAAACGTTTGATAAGTAAATATAGACAGTAAGGCAGTATATATCTCTCGTGTAAATAAACACTTGATGAATTACACTTTTCTGAGAACAGAATAGTGGAGATCGCTAAACTGCAAGCTAACCGGTGTTTTTAGAAAGCAAGGACCCGATTAATCGATAATGAGAATCGTTGACGATTATTTTCATAATCGATTTAATCGATTAGTTGTTGCAGCCCTACACAGTACACACTCATATATTATGTAAACAAAAACTTTTATTTTGGATGCGATTAATCGTTTGGCAGCACTAATATATATATTAGTATTAAATATATTTAATATATAAACATAACATATTTTTCTTAAATATATACATGCATGTTTTTTTATATACATAATAAATATGTATATTTATATATACATAATAAATATACACAGTACACACTCATATGTTATGTAAACAAAAACTTATTTTGGATGCGATTAATCGTTTGGCAGCACTAATATATATATTAGTATTAAATATATATATGTAATACTTGATTTCAGCAAGGATTCATTAAACTGATCAAAAGTGACAGTAAAGACATTTATAATGTTAAAAATATAAAATATTTCTTTTTCAAATAAATGCTGATCTTTTTAACTTTTTCATCAGAAAATCCGGAAACAAATGTATCAAGGTTCCACAAAAATACTAAGCACCACACATTTATAACAATAAAATCAGCATATTAGAATGATTTCTGAAGGATCATGTGACACTGAAGACTGAGTAATGATACAGAAAATTCAGCTTTGCATCACAGGAATACATTTCATTTTAAAATACATTCAAATAGAAAAAAAAAAGTTATTTTAAATGTTAATAATATATTCACATATTACAGTTTTAATGTATTTTGGGTTACATTAATGCAGCCTTGGTAAGCATAAGAGACTTTTTTCCAAAAAAAACAAAAAAACTTTAAAACAATGGTAGTTTAACAGGAGTTAAATTAATACCCAAGTAGGACGTTACTACATCAGAAAAGTATTTTCAGAAGCAGGGAAAGTTATTGTCCGTGAAAGATAATGAGAAGCAGCATTTTTCTAAATGGAATAAATGCACTGATTAATTGTGCACTATAAAGAACAGGAAGGCTTCATTAACATTAAGTTAAGGTGAGTTTTGATTTAATATTGTCTTAACCCCACCCACTCCCAGAGCATCAGTGAGAAGGATAACAGCATTACCGTTGGAGGAAGCTACGGTCTGTGCGCGGGCATGAGGTGGAATGAGAGTGGAATTGAGCTGCGGCTGAATCGTCAGCTCTGAAATAAAGAGAAACACACTCTGTTGACAGACCTCGAAGTGGAATGAACAAAGAAGAAAAATATCAAATGCTCTTTTAAGAACAGAAACGTTTCACACAAACTATCTCGGAGTTGAATGGTAAAAAAAATAACTAAAATAAAATGTGCAAGCACTGCATCACTAAGCAATACCAAAGGGAAAAACAAATCCAAATAAGAAAGAAAAGCAACAGGATATTTTGGAGGGGCTGAGCAAAGTGCTGCTAGTCTCCTCTCAATCGCTTCTGTAGTATTTAAGTTTCTTCCCTGAAGTCCAATTATATTAGTCAAGGTTTCTTGCATCA